GGCAATTTTAATGTCTTTAAAAATGCAAGCACTATTTCTTATTCTTTCATTTAAAAAACATTGGTTGGATAAGCATCTGTCAGAAGGTACCATACTATGTGTGGGTAGTACATAAAGTTAAAAAAGACACATTTCTTGCCTCAATTGTTCCCCAAAAGACAAAAGCAGCAGGCATGAAAACAGAGGCTTGAAATACAGAGTGATACATGTTATGATGGGGGTGTGCACAAAGCATAAGGCTAAAGGAACGGAGACCACTCAATTTGGGTTTATGGCAATATGTCAACGTACTCTGATGTTCAGGAATTACCCTCAGCCATTTAGGTACTCTGGAAAGAATCTAAAACTGTTTCTTTAACAAATCAGCTTTTTCCCAAGAGATATACTACAGTGCTGTGTTTTAAGAATGTAAGCTGTGGAGTCAGGGTAGTTGAATTTGAATCCTGGCTCCATGAACTTTGGGCAACTTACTAAACCTCCCTGTGGCTCAGTTTCCTTATCTATAAAATGAGGATAATAATTTTAATAATGGAATTGTTGTGAGAATTGAATGAGTTAATACATGTGAATTCCTTAGAGCATTACCTGACATATAATACATATAATACTATATGTATTAAATATTTTTACTATAAATAAAAATATTGATAATCTATAAAAAATCTTTATAAACTAAGAATGGATAACCTTCTTCAAATGGACCAGGTATTATTAATGAGCCTCTAATATATTCTAGGTACCTTGCCAGGGTCTGGGGAACAAATTCAATTTAGGGGCTCAGGAATATTCCAGAAGCTTATAATAAACTGGAGGCAACAAAAAAACTAGGCAAAATACATTAGAATAAGTGATATTTAAATATAAAGTGCTATGGGAAAATGCAGATGAATGGAAAAAATTAATTCAGTCCTGATGGATCCAGAAAAGCTTCACTGACATTTGAGCTAGACCTTGAAGGAATCCAACCAAATGATTACCAAGGTCATTCCTGGCATAGGGAGCAGCATGGAAAAGATATGAAGAGATAACAGAAGAAAAGAAAGTTGAAGGCTCATGAGGTGCTACTGGAGCAGTGTCTGGAGATGAGCCGGGAAGAGAGGGATTAGTTCTTACTAAGAGCCTTGTAGTCAATTCCAAACTTGTGAGCGAGTAATATAACATGGTAACATCTGCATTTTAGAAATATCATTCCTCTGGCACAATGCGCAATGGATTTGAAGACAGTATAAAGTAGAAAAACTCATCAAGAGATTGTTGCAATGATCTTAGAGAGAAGTGATGATGACCTGAACCAGGGCCAAAGCTAAGGGAAGAGGAAGAAAGAAGATACAATAGAAGTATCAACAAGGCAGAGTGACAAACTAGACATGGTAGATAAAGAGATGTACTGTAGGATGTTTAGCAGCATCCCTGGCTTCTGCCCGCTAGATCCCGGTACCACTTCCCCTCTACCCCAGCTGTGACCACCCTTCAAACATTGTCAAATATCCCCTGAGGGGCAAATGGCCCCAGGTAAGAACAACTGCTCTAAAGTCCTCTCTATCTCTAAATTGCTTTGAATATTCATCAAAGTAGAAAGAATCCAGGAAACTTCATCGAATTTCACATGAAAATTTTAAATCTGAGTTATACTTTCCACAATTTTCATACCCTTTAGTCAAAAAGTTCAACACCTGTGTGCTTGCTCTCTAAATCTCCAATTGCTATGGCAGTCTTCCCTGTCTGCTTAGTCCAATCCTTGCCTATCTCAGCTTTGCTTTGCATCAGAGGAAACTGCCTTTCCCAGGCTCCCTTGCTTTCTGGCGTCCAGGTGAGGTCAGCCAATGGAACGCACTGTCAGAAGACTGGAGAGGGGAAGAAGGAAGAAACCACGGCACGCCTCCCATTCTCTGTTCCGACAATAGCCACTGAGTCACCTTCATGGCTTCTATTCCTGCTAGACAGTCCTTCTTCTGTGTCCCTGCCATGCTTCCATCTTCCACCAGGTGGCCTTAGATCCTGGGATCTGGTAACATTTTCTCTGTCCCTCCAGGCCTACAAGCGGTAGCAACTTCCTACTGTTGCTAATCTCTGGTTTACCTTGCCATCGCATTTGACTTCTTACTTCTTCCATCACCTACCTGTGCAAGCAGTTGCTACAAACTAAACTGTGTCCCCCCTGCACCCCAAATTCATGTTTGGGCCCTAACCCTCAGTGTGGCTGTATTTGGAATACGGAAGTAATTAAGGTTAAATGAGGTCAAAGGGTGAAGCCCAGATTTGACAGGATGGCTGTACTTTTAAGATGAGACAGTAGAGAGCTCACTCTCTCTCCCTGTCATGTGAGAACGAAGCAAGCAGGTGGCTGTCTGCGAGCTAGGAAGAGAGCTCTCACCAGGAACTGAATCTGCCAGGACCCTGATCTTGGACTCCCAGCCTCCAGAACTGTGAGAAGATTCATTTCTGTTGTTTAAGCCACCAGTCTGTCATATTTTGTTACAGCAGCCTGAGCTAACTGAAACAGCAGTTCCCTGTGTCATATTTCCATTATTTGTAATGGCTAGAGAGGTTTTGTTTCTCTGCCTACGCTGACTGACGCAGTTCTTTACATCATTGATGCTATAAAATATTTACCACGAACTATCTTAATATGTGCCTGACTATGCAAAAGTCATGTTCATATTCATTTCCTAACCTATTTCTTCCAAAAACTCTGTAAGGTAGGGCAAAATGATACAACATAAGGAGCACAAGTTTTGAGTCACTTGACTCAGTTACAACTCCTCTACTTACCAGTTGCATGACCCAAGAAAAGGTAGTTAATCTCATTAGACCCTGGTAGCCTCCTCTATTAAATGGGTCTAATAATAGTACTAACCTAAGGGGTTTTCTGGATTAAATGAGTTACTCTATGCAATGTACTTACAATATTTTTAGGCATATAGGAAGCTCTCAATAAATCTAAATATTATTTTTAGCTACAATTTATTGAGTGCCTATTATGTGCCAAGCCCTGGGACAGGTACTAGGGACATAAAGACAAATAAGAAACAATCGATGTCTTCCAGGAGTTGCGGTATACTCACAGAGGCAAACACATAAACAGGTAATCATAATAAAATATGGCACCTTTCTTAACAGACATATTCTGGGAAAGCCAAATAGAGCACGATCCACAGACAGGGTTTGAGAAGCAACTGTCAATGTTTGAATCCCAGTTCTGCCAATTACTTATGGTTTGGCTCTGGGCAAATTACCTAACTCCTCTAAGCCTCTATTTTCTCACCTACAAAATGAGGCTAGTAGTAGTATCTACGGCATATGGATGTGGTGAGAAGAAACAGATAATACAAGTAGTTTCTGGTATAGTTCCTGGAAGATGGCATGCTCAGAAAAGGATAGTTATATTTGTTATGAATAGGGAGCAGAGAATTGGGTTGCCTAACCTAGCCCAGGGCTCCCCCAAGTTCTTGCTCCCCACTGGTTCCTCTGATCTATTTCATCTACTTCCTCTTCCTCCTCAGAAGAGGCGGCTGAGTCTATCATACTTTTCTACTATGAGTATAGATTAATATAGCCACTTATAAAATTTCTCTACAGACTCTATGAAATCTAATTACAGTATATGTATACAAAGCAGTTCCACTCCTGCATGTCTACCTAGAAATGAGTACATATGTGTACCAAAAGACGTAAAAGAATGTTTATAGCAGCTTTGCTCACAATAGCACCAAATTGGAAGCAAGCCCAATGCCCATCAACAAGAGGATGGATAAATACACTGTGATATATTCATATAGCATGGGATACTACATAGCAATGAGAATAAACTAAAGTGACACAAAACAATACAGATGAATCTCACAGACAACATGTTGAGCAAAAGAAGATAGAGTTCAGACTTTACCTTCTACTTAAGGAAAGTTCAAGAAGGAGTAAAATAAATCTATGGTCATAGAAATCAGAAGAATGGTTACCTTTGGAGAGGTATTTGCTGAGAAGGGCAGTGGTATACTGGTAAATGTTTCACAACCAGCACTCCGAAAAAAGCCCTGATTTTATAGAATTTGCCTATTTCTATGATGTAAATACTTAAATACCCTCAGTGTGGTGGATTTCAAGTTACCAACTTGAGGTCACTGAGCACGAAGTTGGGAAGAGATGGATATGTATATAGTCTGCTCTGGCAAGTCGGTGAGCTCTAACTCTAGCCTCCCCGGGGGGTAATATGAAGGGGTGTTCTGGTGTGCTGGAAATGCTCTATATCTTGATCTGGACAGTGCTTGCTATCCAGGTAGTGAATACTTAAGATTTGTTCACTTTATTGTGTGTATACTATACCTTGATATAAAGTAAAATGTAAAAATGCCTGTGAGAGCTACGAAGAGAAAAGCACTTATAACTATTATAACTACTATATTATTCCCAGAGGAAGATTCAGAGACGTACCAGAGATTCAATGGCTGGAAAGGCAGCATTCAGATCTTCTTGTCCTCACAACAGAGAGAAAAAGAAACACTATTAGTAGACACTGGCATAAACAGACAAGAGACGGTGACTTTTTTAGCTGGGTCACTCTCAACCTTCCAACATGAGGCTTAATTCGATCTTACCACCAATGGTTGATACATCACGCAAGACAGAGTGTTGCTTCTGAAAAGCCTAGACGCACTGCCTTAACTAACTATGGTCCTGTTACTTAGAGATTATTATTCCACTGGGTGGCTCCAGATGAATGCTTTAAGCACAGTACCACCTGAACACAATGATCAGACAGGAAAAAGCATCAATGTAAACAATGTTACTTTTATTTTGAGGAAAAATGCACATTCATCTAATTTCCTTGTGTCCCTGAAATCTTAAATATGTTCAATATGACTGGAAGATCTCTGTGATCTAGCTAAATGACACATTTTAATAGGACAGCTGCTCTTAACACAGCACTCATATATTTAAAGTTACAAATCCAAAGCAAAATTTTAAAGGGGTTTGACCGATGATGACTTGACACATGTACAGGCTTATTTCTTCCTGATCTGGCAGTACAGGACAATAGAAAATATCAGACCAAGTACCTAGAAAATAAGAGGATTAACATGGAATTTAAAGTAAAACACTAGAGATATTATAAATAAAAAGAACATTGTATATGAAAAGATTCTGGCTACTGACAATTCGAATGTTATTTATCTAAGTCATCTCTCTTCCTGGGAAATTAGAGACTCTAACATTGAGAAAGCGCTCAGTATTTTTGTGTTTCAATCAGGGTTTTCAGCTAGCAGTCTGCCTCTAACTGGCCCTATTTGACTGTGCAGTAGCAGCTGTCACTGAAGCAACCCACCCTTTTGAAATACACACACCCTTCTGTAGGGCATGGCCATGGAACTCTGGGGAACTCAGGCCTCTGGGTCTAAAGATGCCTACTGCTTCTATGAAAAACTTATAATCATCTGGTTTAGATCATCCACATAAAAATCAAGGAGTCTAGAATTTCTCTTGCCATATTTTTAGGCATCGCCAAGAGGAATGAAAGAAAAAGTAACCCTTTTCTTAAAAAGCTTCTAAATTGAAGGGGAATGGCATCATTCAGGAATTTCCTTTGAAGTGAAAATGTACAGCTGAAAATCTGGGGCATAATTTCCATCTCATTAAGTGGCTCTCCCAAGAATGAGGGACCCCAGCACTTGCCCTAATTGGCTCTGAAGTTGGTGAGTGGCATGCTGTGGCTTTGATGTAGAAATGACAGAACCTGTGTGTATTGCAGATAGAAAGTTTCTTTTCCACCAGCCTCCTCTGAGGGGAGTCAGGGAGAGGATGAGATGCCATTTATGCTGAGTCATCTCCAGCGCTCCTACTGTACGGAGATGTCCTGCTTACTAATTCTTTCCCGGAAATGCCTTTCAAATGAGAACTGCTGCCCAATATTTTTTCCTTCAAAAAAAAAAAAATACTGAGGGACTTCCCTGGCCATCCAGTGGTTAAGACTTTGCCTTCCAATGCAGGGGATGCGGGCTCAATCCCTGGTCGGGAGCTAAGATCCCACGTGCCTTGTGGCCAAAAACCCAAAAAGAAAACAGAAGCAATATTGTAACAAATTCAATAAAGACTTTAAAAATAGTGCAAGTCAAAAAATCTTAAAAAAAAAAATTGACCCCAATTCTTTGCAAAAATAATGACTTTCATTCAGAATGTTCTAAAAGTCATTCTTTTTGAATGACCGGAGAAAATGTTACAATTTAGTCTTTTGCTTTGGTCCCAAGCCTTAAGTCTGGGAGATGAGTATCAGGAAAGAATCACGAAAATGGGCAAAACAGTGGGATAAGGCAGCTATCATCTTTCACTGTCACATCCGTGAAATAGAAGCCCAGCTTGCATCAGCAGAGACTAGACAGTTAATACCATACTTCCTTGCATTTCACTGCCTCTGAAAAGAAAATGTATCACTGTTCGTAAAAATAGGTAATAATTAAAAGAGATTCATCCTATAGTAATGGATGCTAAGACTCAGGATAAACTTGCTAAGTAATGCACATATGCTCCCCATATTCTGAAGCCATCTAAAAAATGTAAAATTATTTTTTCTCTCTTTTAACTGCTCCATTCCTGGGACCATTCCTGGGTCCATTCCTGGGACCTCCTGTCAGGATAACTTTTATCCTACAAAGTGGTGACTATCAGCGTCAATGGCTTTTTTTCTTTTTTTTTTCTTAATTAAAGTGAGGAGAGAAAGTGCTGATCATTTTTTGTGCTTGTAAGTTGCTGTAGTCAAATAAGGAGAGATATGATAGTCTGGTTAATGCAGAATAACGAGAATTCCAGTGTCTATAGATAACATTTTCTTACAAAATAAAGCATTTTGCATAGATTTCTAGCATCCTACCTGAGAAGAATCCCTCAGGTATATGTTCTTAACAGAGCCTTGACAAAAACTATTGGCCATTCCATCAGAGCCTATGCCTAAACAGACTAACGCCAAAGATGTAAACGTCAGAGGGTGGGTTTTTTCATATGATATTTTTCTATGGAGATAGTTTTAAGTGTATTTTCTGCAGGGAGATATTTGCTTTGTTTGCTTCTTAAAAATATGTATTAGAGGTATTTTTCTGTCTATATATCTTTATGTTTTCTTGAATTTGAAGTTGGGGAAAAGAGAATGTAGACGGGCCTAAGTGTTAGGCAACTAGTATTAAGACTGTAAGACAGACTGATGGACATTTTTTGGATACGTTTTTATAGAATAGCTATCTTAGCTATAGACTATTTTCAAAGCTATTTTTTTAAGTAAAAATGAGAGGGAATACAAAATGATTTTTCTTTCTCTTCAAATCCCAGAGGGAGGGCAGATTTTCTATTGAGAGAGTGAACGAAAAAAAAATTTCAAACAGTTCTTTGAACCAACTATTTATCGTATCTACATAAAGTCTACAAATCACACTTAACTGGCATAACTTGAAATGGTTATAGTTTGTGATATTACCATGTAAATTCTATACCTAAAAATTCCTCTATGAAAGGTTTTCAGTAAGGTATTTTCATATATATATATATATATATATATATCTTTAGAACAACCAATAGAATATCTAAATATATAACAAACACATGGAGTATACCAATTTCATAAAATACTGAAATGCTATTCCTCTTGTAATCTTATTTTCCATCAGATGTCTTTAGATTCTTGGCAATGTCTTTGGCTATGATATGAGAGACATCAATCTTCCCAGCTGATTATGTCCTTTTTTCCCCGGCTTTGCTTTTGAGAAGCTTCTTAAAAGCATCTGTGGGTTGTGGCCAAAGTCAATTGTCTGAATTTGAGTCTAAGATGGAATGTGACACTTATATTGACACTTACATTGAATATCTCAATTATTTTTTTTAATAAATTTATTTTATTTTTGGCTGTGTTGGGGTCATCGTTGCTGCATGTGGGCTTTATCTAGTTGCGGTGAGCAGGGGCTACTCTTGGTTGCGGTGTGCGGGCTTCTCATTGCAGTGGCTTCTCTTGTTGCAGATCATGGACTCTAGACACAAGGGTTTCATTAGTTGTGGCACATGGGCTCAGTAATTGTGGCTCACAGGCTCTAGAGCGCAGGCTCAGTAGTTGTGGCACACGGGCTTAGTTGCTCCGTGGCATGTGGGATCTTCCCAGACCAGGGCTCGAACCTGTGTCCCCTGCATTGGCAGGCAAATTCTTAAACACTGTGCCACCAGGGAAGCCCTGAATACCTTATTTAAAGCTGGCTCATTTAAAGTCTACTTTACCAACACATGTGTGTGTTTTAGTTTATGGATGTGGGAGTACATATGTGTGATTGCTCACTTACATCCACAGCCATTAACTCACATTTCTAAATTAGCATAAACCCAAAATACAAAGCAGAGAAACAAAGGACATTTTACAGTGGGTAGAATTGAGAGAAACAGACCTAATGCACAGCACCATTTGACTTTGGTCATATATCGGACATAAAGGAAGACAGCCGCATCTACCAACAGAAACTGCTTCATATTTGGACCTATTCGTTTGGGCTACAAGGAGGTCATGCTTAATAGCCCAATTTGCTTCTCATAGTTCCAGCCCTTTCTCTTATGGTTGGCCGAGAAATTCCACCGGTAACCTAAATGACCACTTAGGACACTAAATTGCTTCAATCTCAGCTAAAGTTCTCTCTGACAGTGATGTGGCACAAGTAAGAGGTAAAAGCTACCAGAAAACCCAAGGAGAACGTTGTACAATATTTCATGAGAGTGAAGTAAAAGTCACTTAGCTGAGCAAACCAGCCCGCAGAGGCGTTAACTAGGGAGACACCTCACATCGTTAGGATTCTTGCCAATGCCCTGACGTGGACTGGTGAGTGAATTTGACTCACTTGATATCTAAATTAGCAAGATCTGGGATGATTACAAAAACACTTCCCTGAAATAGTTTTATTTCATCTTTTTGCAAAGAATTTCAGGCCACGTTAAAAAAAAAAAAAAAAATCCTTCAGGTTCTGAAAACACCGTGCCAGAAGAGTCTAGCAAGATAAAAATCCTATACAGGATTTTTTTTTTCGAAGTCAATAATCAAATTGATGAGAGTAAATGCAGAAACCTCAAGCAGAGCATCCTTAAAAACTTCTCCAAGTGAGTCCATAGTCCTTACAGTGAGAAAATCAAAGTCAACTGTCTAGTTTTTAGAACTTGTTAGATTTCTCTAGAATAGCAGGAAAACAGTTCTCCACACTCTTGAGCTCAGTTTTTATTTTCTATTTCAAAATCAGAAAGAGGGATAAAAACTTGTAAAGCTTGTGTTTTCATTTTGTTTGGTGCTTCGTCTAACTTCAGGAAACATTAACCCTTGTGCTAGTTTTCAATGGGAAAATGATATCTGGGACTAAGAACTGTGTGGAAATTAACTCACCTTCTTCCCCCAGGAGAGAGATCATTCAGAAATAATAGCTTCTGCCCTGCCAATTTCCTAAGACTACAATCCCCTCCCCAGACCCAAGGCCAGTAGAGGCAGATGCTGGGCCTTGGGCTCTTGGTACCCAGTGCTTTTCTGAAGCACCTGGTTTTTATTTGGCTCTTCATAAATATTTGTTAGAAAAATTAATGAGCAAACAAGGGAATAAACAAAGAATTAATAATGCAAGATAATACTATACCTCAACAGCTGCCAGTCCAAACGCTAGTCCAATAACTATGGAAAGACTTCTTGAAAATAAGCATCTTATCAAAGAAAAGCATGACTGTTAAAAACATTAAAAAATTACCTTTAGTCAAATTTTGACCTTATTTTAGTACAGTACAGATTTCTATTTATTGGGCTAATTGCTTACATTGCTATCAAGGAACATACTCAACAGAAAGGAAGTAGATTATTCCCACCACTCCAAGCTCCTTCACCCCTCTGAAAGGTTATAACTGTTGTGGTTTGTTCATACATTAGGAAGCATTTGAGGAACAAAGTTTTGCTTCAACTACCTAATTACTGAATCTAGGGCTATTTAGTTATAAATACTCATTTTATCCTAACTTCTGATTGTTCATTTTAGAGCTGTTATCACCTTGACTGTGTATTTTTTAGGTTTGTAACCTGCAGCAGAGAGCTCCCTCGTTGAGGTTTCAGCTAATTATAGCGTAGATTTTCATTTTTTTAATGATTTTTTAAAAAATTTTGTTTTTATTTTTTGGCATGTTGGGTCTTCATTGCTGTTCGTGGGCTTTCTCTAGTTGCAGTGAGCAGGGGCTACTGTTCGTTGTGGTGTGCAGGCTTCTCATTGCAATGGCTTCTGTTGTTGCAGAGCATGGGCTCTAGGCACGCGGGCTTCAGTAGTTGTGGCACACGGGCTCAGCAGTTGTGGCTCACGGACTCTAGAGTGCAGGCTCAGTAGTTGTGGTGCACAGGCTTAGTTGTTCCGTGGCATGTGGCATCTTCCTGCACCAGGGATCGAACCCATGTTCCCTGCATTGGCAGGTGGATTCTTAACCACTGAGTCACCAGGGAAGTCCCTACATTTTCATTTTTAAAACAAGGGTTTTTTCAAAAATCCCTTAATATGTGTCAGGGTTATTTTTACCTTAAAAAGGAAAAAAAAAATCATTATGTCCACTGTTATGCTCTTACTTTAGACAAAAAAGAGAATTTAGAAATTTGTCTCTCTGCCACATTTTTAAACATTTATTCAAACCAGCATGAAATTTCAAGCTTAACATATTTTAGACCAGACCTAAAAGTTTCAACAATTGTAAATTATATGAATAATTTTAAAAATGGAAAAATAATATACAATGTAATAGTGTTATTGTCTGTATTGCCAGAAAATATATCATCCCTATGATGGTCTTATATGTGCAAAGGGCTAACAAAATATTGCTATTTGTTAAATAAAATAAAAGTTCTCCGTGAGGTTAAGACAGTCTCTTCCCCTTCATTCCTGAATGTAATGGGTTTCTCCATTCTCATCTGATCAAAAGTGGTAAACATTAGAGGAAATTATTACATCATCTAAGATTAACTATGAGATTAATGGTATCTACTGAGTCACATTCATTATATTTTAGGGGTTTTCTCCCCCCTCCCCCTCTAGATAACCAGGTTATCTTGGCAAAAGGGAGGGGAAAAGAGAAATGTGAATTATGGCCATTCCAGATTCCTTATTCTTCCAGACTTCTTGCAAGTGACACAAGGCAGATGGAAGTCTTTCATGAATTTATGATCTTCCTTTTGGGAAACTGGTGCAGCTATAAGTCTATCTTCAGCTGAATTATGTGTGAATTTGGAGGGAATATCTATTATTTTTCAGGATAACGCGAGGGCATTTCAAAATCTATCCTGAGGAAACACATCTTTGAGTTGAATCTTTAACAGGACACAGATAGCAATCCACAATTTAATTTACTAATTTCCTCATTATCCTAAGTGGAAACTACATTTGTTTACACCATGGTTATTTCCCCTCCTCCTTGTGGATACTGTGTCACTAAAATTACATGGAGAGGAGGATAGCAGGGAGGAATATAAAAATTAGTAATGAAAACTTTTAGTGCTGTTACTTTGATGATGAAAAGACATGGTAGCTCTGTAATCTGGTAGATAACTTCTCCCCCATGTGTTACTTTAAATACTAGTAACAGCAATTTCCCTTCAGAACAGTCTCCTTTATTTTGATAAAATTAGTAACAGGGATGTGATAGTCAACAGGTGAGACGTTTCCCCTGAGATACTTTCTATTTCCTAATATATAATTAACCTCAGTAGCCATTACTAAACCAATGCTAGATTGAAAATATTCTGTAGGGATTACAGAAATTAACTCACTGAACTATAATAGCTTTCATGTATCTCTCTCTCATCTAGCCTATAATCTCCTAGAGGGTCCACAAGCATGTCTGATTCCAGCAAGGGTCTGTCTGACACCTAGTAAGCAGTGAAGAATAACAGCAAATAAATGGAACATTAATACCAACTGTCATTTCTGTACACTTTCCTTCCAGGCAGAAGGAACAAATTATGTAGAGCCCTATGGTAAGAGACATATCATGTCCTGCAGGAAGCTGTATCTTGAACCCCAAAGACTGAGTTAAATGGGGTCCCATCATATCTTGTGCCTGGTCCTATCCAAGAAATACCAATAGTTCACTGGATTGAAGTTGCCTAATTATCTTTCTCTCTTCCCTATTAAAGCATCACTCTGTGAGTGCAGACATTGCGCCCTATTTAGGAATGGATCTCCAGCAGCTGGTGAAAGGCCAGTACATAGGAAGTGGTCAATAAATATTTGATGAATTAAGCAATAATAAGAAATATAACATCCACATATTAACATTCGCAAGTGACATAAATATGTCATCTACAACACATGAAAGACAAACCTAAGTTCTTCTTTTTCTTTTTTTTTTGGCTGCACCAAGTGGCAAGCGGGATCTTAGTTTCCAGAACAGGGACGTGCCCCCCTGCGGTGGAAGCACAGAGTCATAACCACTGGACCACCAGGGAAGTCCCCCAAGTTTTTAAATTGACTTTAAAGCCATGAGGCAACTTCTCAATTGGAGCAATAATTAGGCAAACTGGTAGGTACACTTAACAACCAGAGCGGAAACCTCTAAAGCCCAAGTTATTTCTTTACACCCAATACAATTACTTGAGAAAGAGAAACTCTGATTAGAAAAAGAAAGCTTTACTTTGAAAATTAAAGTGAAAATATAGATTTCTAAGACCTATGTTAAAATAGAAAAATAGAGGAGAATAATGACTAAAGTCACCAAAGAGAGGACAAAATAAACTTTTATCTGTTAGCTTGTACTTTGCCTCCCCTTGCAGTAGAATGTTTCTTTGATCTACTAAAGTTGAATTTAAATGATGCCAGACTCATAGAAGAAATAAAATACTTTCATTTTTGTATCTATTTTTATCTTTAAATAAGGATTTTTTTAAATTTGGGAAATTCCTGGGACTTTTATATCATGATTCCCATTGTAATTGCTGCAATTTAATATTTTGTAGAGACTTTCATTGTGGAAAAAAAAAAAACAACAGAAGCACTTACTATGCCAAATTTGATTTGTTCTCACCTGTTTGTAAATAGTTTTTCCATCATACTTTGTACAAGAAGAATCTGATGCACTTGGACATTCACATGACTTGTAATAGTATTGAAAATTATTTCCCCAATCAGAAGCTCCATTGATCAAACCACAACATTTTAACTGTTTGATGAAAAGTAGATATGAAAAACAGTCACGAGAGAAGACAAAAACATTGTCAATACCTTGAATCACATTCTTCTGAAACCACTATTAAGATGTTTCTTATACTAGAATATCGTATAAGTCACCTCACCTAACTCCCTGAATGAAGAAACAAAAATGAAGGAATGTTCCATTTTGGCCTTCATGTTAATGAAGGAAAAAATAGAGTTTCAGATGAAAAAGTCTGAAGAACTTGGAGGGAATATAAAAAAACTCACCTTCTAGTTTTTAATGAAAAAAGAGAGGGGCAGGATCAGATTTATGCTTCTTAGGTCTTAGAAAAGAAGCTTCCAGAGAGTTCATGAGAGAGTCAAGGCCTCTTTAAAGAACTCTTACTCAAAAAAGATGAGAGGTTTAAAAAGTGAAATTTCTATCTCATGACCTTTGATCACTTTTGGAGGAAAGGGGGAGAAGAATGAGAGGCATCTCAAAGGCCAAAGAAGATGCTTAGTGGGCCTTCCATGAGACTGAATTTTACACCGACATCTGTAAAACAGCTAAGGGGTAAAAATGATGAATGAAACTCTTAGAATAATGTCAGGAAGGTTAAGGCTCAAAATAAACCAAAACATGGGGAAACACTAAGGAAAGTTGTGATCATGTTTGGGGAAGTAAAACAAGAAAGGGATAAGCCCAACAACTCAGAGTAATGGCACATAATATTATTAGATGAAAGAGAGAGGTCATTATCTCATCTTGCCCTATTTGCTTTAACTGGAGAGAAAACTTCTCATGCAGAAAGGTGGAAAAAAATTGAAGAAAATAGAACCAAGACTGGGTGTTTTTCTAAGGCTCAAATGCATTGCAATGGTAGGCTATTGAAAGGACTTACACTTATGGGCTGGTGACCACGTTACCCATGTTACTTAAACCTCTCTGTGCCACAGTTTCTTCATCTCTAAAATGCAGATAATAATAGTCGCTAATGATAGTATCTAATTCATAGAGTTGTTGGAAAGACAAAAATAGAATACCCATGTGAAGATATGAACTGTTTAGCCCAATGCCTGGCTTGTAGAAAGCACTCAACACGTGTTAACTGTCATCATTGTTGTTTTTGTTTTGTGTTTCTTGCTGTTGTTTCCTTTGTGCTCTAACATGAACATGATCTGTTCAGCATTGATATCAGTACTTTAGATAACATTATAGAAAGTGTCTTTTCAACTCTGTAGTTGATATAGAGCTGGGAGTGATGATTAATACATTGGAGAACAAAATGGAGTTCCAAAAATAGTTCAAACAATGGACTTAAACTAACAGGTTCAACTGTGGCAGATATAAAGTCTTGTGCTTTAGCTCAAAGATTTACTTGCACAGATGTAGGACTCATTAGACATTCACATGACAAAGAGCTGGAGATTTCTGACGGTCTCAAGGTCAATCAGTATTAGCAAAGAGAGTAATCTTGAAACAACCTCCTTGTTTCCATGGTAGACATAATTAATTGCTCACTCTTTCTGATTAAATAATCTTAAATGATATTGATACAGACACTCCAGATCAAAAAGAGTATGTCCCACTATATACACTCACAGATCAATCCATTTTTGGAATACAGTATTCCTTAGGGAGGTATAGAGACACACTTACAAAAGACAGAGCAGAAGGTAGAAAGGCTAAATTTGGTATAATATCTTATCTAGTCACCAGATCAGATGTGGGAGCAGTTGGGGAAGAGGTTGGTCCGGATGCATTGAAAGTGTGATAGCAGTTGGATGAACAAGGCACTGTTCAGTGAATGATACAACAATCTCTAGACAAGTAGTCATCACTAAGAATATAAGAGAGTACGTTAGCAGAGAATTTCTGTGGGAATTCCCTGAAAACCAAAAAGAAAGCCACTTAGTATCTACAAATTGTCTATGTGTGATGGGGCCCCAGGTCACCCAGCCAGAGTCTGGGGTAGGATTCTTTTTCCAAAGAGGCATTACTAAAAAAAAGAAAAGAAAATCCTTGTGGATATACATTTAAAACAAACAAACAAACAAAAACAGAATAGACAACAAAAGAGAACCATAGTCCTGGGAACCCAAGGAGCTTCGGGCACAGAATTTGTGTACAAGAGCAGAAGTAATTCAGAATTGTGCTACATCAAACAGAACATTTAAAACCCTGTGGTTGGCACTAAGCCCTTGGATACCAGGGACAGTGTGCAACAAGTGTGATGCAGGACCCAACCCAGAGACCCAGCGGTTACCTGTAGTACGTTTTGTCCTAGATCAGCAAGCAGGGAAGATCAAGGATGCTTGGTCCCACCCAGTGGAGAAACTGAGTTGCCTAAATTCTTCCTGCTTTTAAACCTGGACTAATCTGGACTCTAAAGTGGGAATAATCCTGGAGGAGAGAGGATCAAGGAATACAGCTCTGGGGGAGCTAGGAAAAACACAACACAGAGGAAGTTAAACAGAGACTAACTCATATCAGGTTTCAGCTCCTGGAAATGACGCTTTAAGCAGAATTTTTACAAGCTGGGGTCTATCCAAATAGGAACTGGGGAATGCTCTGGGAAAAAATGCCATCTGATAAATAGTTCAAGGAACAAGTTCAAAATCAAAGCTTTTAGAAGCCATACGAGAAGCTATTTTCAAAGAAAAAATTGCAATACGTAGAAGTAGATTTTTTTTTCCTCTGAAATTCCAGAAGGAAGAACTAAGACTAAATGATCTAAATTCTAGGGAGGAAGATTTTGTTTCAAATTAAGAAAGAACACATTAATCATCAGACTTAGATGTAAAGGGAATGGGATGGAATGGGCAAAAATGGGCAAACTTTCAGCTCTTCAATATTTAATTAGAGGGTGTATGAACATAAACATAAAATACTTCAATTAATGAGAAGTCAGGTTAAATGTCCTGTAAAATCTAGCTCCCCTCTAAGATTAGGAGGATTTCTATGACATATGTGAAATAAATGCTACATGTAGTTAATATGACAGAAATTCTGAGTAAAGAAGCTGTGGTTGGGAGGAGTTTCACAGAGCAATAACTTTAGTCAAACCTCAAAGCACATGTAGTATTTGTAAAGAAAGAAAAGTAGTAAGTACATTCCAAGGATGAGGAATGATGCAAAGGCAGGAAGGCAGATTTGTTTAAGAGATCCTGAGAAAACAAACCTGGTTGGACTAGAGTGCTTTCTTCATGGAGTAGTATTTAGTAAAGTTAAAATATTAGGTAGGATCCAGATAGTAGAATACCTTCAATACCTGCCCAAACTTTGACTCTACCCTGAAGACAGTGAAGCAGCCAAAGTAAATACATACATACATATACACTGGAAGGGCTACTGTACTGCTTAAAAAGAAATTAGTGAGTCAGACAGATCTGTATTCAAATTACAACCCCATCACTTGTTAGCTGTCAGACCTCTCGAAGTCTGTAATCCCCTCATCTGTCTAATAAAGATAATGAGGATAACGATATTATCCATCTCATAGAGTTGTTGTGAGAATTAAATGAGCTACTGAATGTAAATCTGGTACATACTAAGTAGCAATAAATGACAGCTATAATTAATTTTATGAGAGAAGGGTGGGCATGGAGGCAGAGAAGGAGAGAGAGAGAAACTTCAAGCATCCCAAACACACTATCCTTCTAAATGGTAAATATTAAAACGCTTATTGATCTGGCTCAATCGAGGCTTAATCTTTCATAAACATATCTTCTTAATCTCTGTCCTATGCTGTCTCAGAACTTCGTAAGAAGGTGGAAAAAAATTAGAAATATTCCTGGATTTTTCTTATGGCATAGTGACAGAATAATCAGTCAAAATCTGCAGAAGGGAGAGACATTTTTCAATCTTTAAAGAATACACCTGTTAAAAATTAAGTAAACAGAGAACTATGTCCAACTCTCCAGATAACTTACAAATTCTAATTACCTGTTCTTGAATTTCAGAAAAGGCTTTCTGGAATAGTTTTCCATTTTCATTTGTTGCACTCAAAAGATGTACATTAGTCTGGAGAGTCTCATTCAGAGCACGTTCAGTCTGAAAATTGAAAAGTATTGTTAAATTATTCATGCCAGAAGGTAGCATGTCAATTTTTCAGACTTTTCCAAGATTATTAAGTATCATACGTGTACACACCTTAGATTTGTTAGTAGCTCCTACGATACCTGCCACCACTTGCAGAAGTAGGATCAGAATCAATCCTACGAAAAACTGAAAGAAAAGAAAAGGAATATATATCACACCCAGTACATTCAGTAACATCTAGGGACATTTTGGCACCATGCTTCTTTCTGCAGTTGGGATCATATTACAGTTGGAGTATTAACCATGCTCTTCATTTACTCCATCCTTTGCCTCAAGAATCAAAATTGGGGTCATTACTACTCAGAAACATTTTCTCCAAAGACTGACTAAGGAAAATGGTTAAAACTAAAATCGATTGATAGGACTGTATGCATCGGTATGATGTTGAATGGAGGGAAGTTTGAAAACTTAGATGAAGTTATTTGAATATGATATTTCTCGTCCTTCATCAAACACAAACTCAAACTTCAAGACAAACTTCAGAACTGAATACAAAACAACATCTCTACCACTATTAGAATCACCTGGGGTCTTGTTATAAATATAGAGTCCTGAAATATGCCTCAGATCTACTGAATCCTACTTTTGGAGGATCCCACGAATTAGTTTTTTTGTTAAAACAAGTTCCTCAAGTAATTAAATTCCCCAAATTGGGGCTTCCCTGGTGGTGCAGTGGTTGAGAGTCTGTCTGCCGATGCAGGGGACACGGATTCGTGCCCTAGTCCAGGAAGATCCCACATGCCGTGGAGCGGCTGGGCCCGTGAGCCATGGCCGCTGAGCCTGCACGTCCAGAGCCTGTGCTCCGCGACGGGAGAGGCCACAACAGTGAGAGGCCCGCGTACCGCAAAACAACAACAACAACAACAAAAAATTCCCCAAATTGCAAATGAGGCCTTATTAATCAAAAAGCAACCACCAGGGATGCTATTAGAGTCCCATTAAAACTCTATCTTTACCTTCCCTCATAATCAACCATCAGTTAAAAATTATTTGTTCAGGGACTAACACAATACTACTTTTATCAGAGAAACAAGTTTAGATGAGCTCTGATAAACTCATGTCAGATTTCTATCTAGTAAATACTTGATGAATTTTTCTAATATTTTTTTCTATACCCATTTATGATTTTCTACTGTATATGTGTTAAAAGTGAATATCTGTGGGTTATCCCAACCCAATCTATCCTTGAAGCTTTCTAAGGGACAAATTTGATTATCTCACACCCTTACAATTTTCTTAGCATGGACTATGATTTGACTGTAGCCCACACCCAGACCTGTCTTCCATTATTTACTGAAAATAGCCCTTGCACTCTCTAGCCATACCCAAGGCTTTGCAGTTCCCCAAACATGCTAGCATTGTACTGCCAGGTCCTCTCCCTGGAAAGCTCATCACACACTCACCCGTACAAACACCTTATCCACTTCTGCTTCTGGCTTGAAAGTTCCCTTCTCTATCCTTGCCCTTCCCTTCTTGGGCCACCTTCACTGCTGCTAATTGTTTACTTGTCAATCTTCCCTAATGGGTTCTAATTGTTTTCATATCTATGTATCTTTTAGCACAGTATCTGGCACATAGCAGGTACTTAGTAATTGAATGAATGACTGAATGAATAACTAAAATTTGTCTTCTCTCACAGTATCCTCTAATCTAAGATAAATATATTAGCTTCCACAACCAAACCCTCTAAACAAAAGTGAGAGAGTTTCATCAATCTTGGCAAGTCCTTTTGACAGACAATGGGGATGGGAGATAATCCTTAAAGTCTGAAGGTTGGGTATTGGGATTTGTCGGGAAAACTCACCAAAAAAAGCATGAACTGGTTTTCTTTCATGGCACCAAAGCATCCCAGGAAACCCAGAATCATGATGATAGCACCCACAACAATCAAGATATTCACAGCAATATAGGGGTTAATGGTAGCATCCCCAGGACTGAGAATCTGAAAATGAAAAAGATCAATGACAGAAAATCCCTTTTCTTGATGTTTTTTATTCAACAAATATCCACTGGGTAACTACTGTTGTGCCAGGCCCTGTTCCAGGACCTTGAGATACCTCAAAGATGTAAACAAGCAAAAATTCCTGCCTTCAAGGCACTTACATTCTATTCTATTGAGGTATTACTTGTCTAGATAATGTTTCCAATTTTATATTTTTTGAAGATGATATACTGGACGTTGGATGGAAGAAATGAAATAGGCCTTTAAAACATCAATTATTCTAAAAAGCTCAGAAGGACTGGTAGTTTCACCCATGATGTGATCTTTGATTTGCATATTTTGTGTTTTATACCTGACAGTAGCATCATGAAGCATGTTTTTATGGCAGTTTAATTATTTAAATTATAAAGCCTAAGTTCCTCAAACAGATAGACTCAACAATATGAGTGAATCTCAAAAACATTTCACTGAGCTAAATAAACCACATTCAAAAGAGTGATTGCTGGGGCTTCCCTGGTGGCGCAGTGGTTGCGCGTCCACCTGCCGATGCGGGGGACACGGGTTCGTGCCCCGGTCCGGGAAGATCCCACATGCCGCGGAGCGGCTGGGCCCGTGAGCCATGGCCGCTGAGCCTGCGCGTCCGGAGCCTGTGCTCCGCAACGGGAGAGGCCACGGCAGTGAGAGGCCCACATATCGCAAAAAAAAAAAAAAAAGAGTGATTGCTGTATGATTCCATTCATATGGCATTCAAGAACAGGTAAATCTAGGCCGAAATGAACAAATTGGTCCTAATCAAACTTACAAGCTTTTGCATAACAAAGGAAACCATAAACAAAATGAAAAGACAACCTATGGAATGCAAGAAAATATTGCAGACAATGCGGCTCACAAGGGTTGAATTTCCAAAATATACAAACAGCTCATGCAACTCAACAACAAAAAAAACAAACAACCCAATCAAAAAATGGGCAGAAGAGCTAAATAGACATTTCTTCAAAGAAGACATACAGATGCCTAACAGGCACACGAAACGATGTTCAACATTGCTAATTATTAGAGAAATGTGAATCAAAACTACAATGAGGTACCATCTCACACAGGTCAGAATGGTCATCATTAGAAAGTTTACAAAAAAACAAATGCCAGAGAGGGTATGGAGAAAAGGGAACCCTCCTACACTGTTGGTGGGAATGTAAGTTGGTGCAGTTACTATGGTAAACAGTATGGAGGTTCCTCAAAAAACTAAAAATAGAGTTGTCATATGATCCAGCAATCCCACTCCTGGGCATATATCTGGACAAAACTACAATTCAAAAAGATATATGCACCCCTACGGTTATAGCAGCACTATTTACAATAGCCAAAACATGGAAACAACCTAAATGTCCATAGACAGATGAATGGATAAAGACAATGTAGTGTGTGTGTGTGTGTGTGTGTGTGTAATGGAATATTAGCCATCAAAAAGAATGAAATAATGCTATGTGCAGCAACATGCATGGACCTAGAGATTATCATATTAAGTGAAGTAAGTCAGAAAGAGAAAGACAAATACCACATGACATAACATATGTGGAATCTAAAATATGACACAAATGAACTTTTATGAAACAGAAACAGACTCATATAGAGAACAGACTTGTGGTTGCCAAGGGGGGAGGGGGGTGGAGAAGGGAAGGACTGGGAATGTGGTATTAGCAGATGTAAACTATTATCTATAGAATGGATAAACAACTAGGTTCTACTGTATAGCACAGGGAACTATATTCAATATTCTGTGATAAAACAGAATGGAAAAGAATATGAAAAAGAATATATATGCATGACTGAGTCACTTTTCTGTATAGCAGAAATTAACACAACATTGTAAATCAACTATATTTCAATTTTAAAAAGTATCCATTTGGGGAATAAATAAAAAAGAATAGGTAAATCTAAGCTAAATCAGAGCAGTGTGGCCTTTGAGCAGAGTATAAAGGAAAGAAGGAACTGACTGCAACGGGATATGAAGGAACTTTTATGAGTTAATACAAATGCTTTGCATTTTGATTGTAATAGTGATTACATAGGTCTATACATTTGCCAAAACAAACAAAAATTTAAACTAAGAAAATAAAATAAGTCTAGTTTCTAATATTCCATATGAAGTCTATCTCCTTGTTCCCAGGAAGTATAGTCTATAGAGTCTTCCAGAGACTCTTTATTTTGATTGACTATTTAGTAATGGGATATTGAGGAAAATATCCTAGGGCCCATTATGATGGGTTGGGCTACCCATTCTGCATAATTTGGTTCTTCTCTCCCCCACATGTATACTCTTCATCACTTTCATAACACCTAGCCTCAATCTATCTCTTGCTCTACAGATATGTTCAGAAGTAACTCACAATTAAAAAGTGAAACCTTGTGCCTCTGTTATATTCGAGTGCTATGTGTAGCCCATCTACCTCTTATGACCTCTATCTACTGGGCTATTTCTAGGTAGACCACTAGGTCTTACACTAGCTCAGAGACTGCCTCTTGGAATCTGCTGCACAGCATGTAGACTAGCTCCTTTAACAGGAAATACCAAAATAAAAAACAAAACAAGCAAACAAACACATACTACAATTCATGATCTTTACATTTTTAAAGACTTTTTAAATCAACTCATAGCCTAGACAAAACCTTTATTTGATAATCAGGAGGAAGGAATATGCTAAAGTTATAATAGCACTAAAAACCAAAATCTATATTCCAGTCAGAGTCTTTATAAATAACTAAGTTTCTAACCGTAGAACAGTCAACTAACCCTACTGGGCTCCAGTTTCTCACTTATAAAGGTATCAGCCTCTGTGATACCTAAGGCTTCCTTTGTCTCTAAGAGCCTATGCTTACAGATGATGTTTCGATTTACATATTTAGAAAGCTGGGTTATGTCCTAAAGATTTTCTTTTTGTCTCTTTTTCAGGTTTTCTGTTTTTGTTGGTGGTGGTGGTGGTTTGGTTGTTAAGATTGGAGCTAAGAAATCAGTTTCATTAATAAACAGGCATGGTAACTGAGTCAAAATAGGTAACGACAAAAAAAAAAAAAGCAGCATTAGAAACCCCGTTCTATCTACTCACCATCAAAGACTGCTTCACTAGTACATTGTGGCCAATGCAGGAAAACCCTAAGGTATCTAAGACAGTTTAAGCCTCAATGGCTGAGTTGTGAAGACTTGGTTAGTCATTCCAGATATAGAAACAGTAGGTCAAATACCTACCAGTGAGACCTGGATAGTGTGGCCAGCACTTACTTGGCAGGTAATGAGGCACTTCTCTGAGACTGATCTGGGCCAGAAAGCAATGTGTTGGCTACCTGAGGATCACTGCTTCAAGTCCAGCCCAACAAGTGGCTATTCTTATTCAGAAAAGAAATAGAAATCTGAGTTTAGGTATTTGTTCCAGGGGAGAGACAGCAGAGTTTTAAAAGCTGTCTTGGATGAACACTGTCTGTGTGTGTCTTAGAACAAGGGGAGAATTTCTACAGGAAGGGACATGGCTGAACTTTGAAGAAGAGGGCTGAGGGTCTTCTTTGGATTATAAAGGATCTCCTGGGACAAGGATGGTTGTGCATACATTTTGCCTCATGCAGGGCTGAGTTCATCCTGATGGAGAGCAAGGCATCCCTAAGAGACACTTCAGCACCAAAAGCTTTGCTAAAAGATGTTCACTAAGGCATCCTGACATCCTTGTTTTCTGTGTTTGCACTCAGCTTTCTCCTTCTAAAACTTCTTCCTCTGCTTTTCCACTAGTAAAATTCAGTTTTCTGCACAGTCTTGATTCTTTGTCACTGACTTTGAATAAAAATAAATCAAGCCAATTTCACGTAAGTCAAGCTGGTTAAAATTGTCCTGGAAGATACTGACTTTTGTTTACGGTTAGAGGCTGACAGAGCACAAGAGTCAAAATGTAACTAAAGATGCTGCCTAGCTCTATTAAGTCATTCTTATCCCCAGATTCACAGTAACACCCTCTCAAGGACAACAGTTCTTTAATACATTCAATGTGTGTGATTTCTTAGACTAAACACCAAGTTTGTGTACCAGAAGCACTGGGGGGAAATAAAATGTTCCCATATCAAACAGAAATAAAATAAAATTAAAGAATAAAATACAGGCCGCACACACATCTTTAAAAGGCCAAAGCACCCTCTAAATCAATAGCTTTTAATCTCTGTGCTTAATTATGAGTCCCAAAGTCAAACATCAGCTTCTAAATGATTCTAAGAATCTTCAAATACTCTTCTAGGACTCAAATCCCAGAGTCCAAGGGCATCAAGAAGTCACAGATATATTTATATCACTATAAACAACAAAAGAAATCCTGATGGACTAGAATGTTACCAACTATTGCCACACCTATCCCCCATTCAATTTCTTCACCATGGTGAGGCACAGAATGAAGAGGCAGAATGAATTGCCACTGTGATTCTCTGGGTTCTCTAATGGTAGAAAGCAAATTTTAAGGAAAAGAAAAGGAAAGAGAGAAGAGAAAATAAAAGAAAGGAAAGAAGAGAAAATAAAAGAAAGGGAAAGGGAAAAAGGAAAGGGAAAAGAAAGAAAGAGAGGGAAGGAGAGAAGGAAGGGAAAAAAGGCAGGAAGGAAGGAAAGAAAGAAGGAAAAGGAGAGAAACAGAGTGAGAGAGCAAGAAAAAAAAGTCCAAAAAACCCAATCCTTTTAAAAAGGGAATCAGAACAGATGTCAATTTGCTTTTGCTTTTAATATTTCTTTCAACTAGGCTATGTCCAATGGCATGTAACTGCACCGTGGTATAAGTTTCAATAGGAAATGCATTACCTTAATTTCCGTTTTAATAATATCTTAATAATTATTAAATAGGAATCAACATTCCTCTTAGAGAGGGAAACTTTATTTAGGCAAATAGTTCGAAAGGGCCCTAGGAGTACATGTGAGCCTGAATAGTGGCAAGAGCCCAGATAACAAAGAACAAGGTAACTGCCCTGCGTGAGATAAGAATCGTAACTTGCGGGGCGGAACACCCCTGGGAAGAAGCGAGCTGGGAGAATGGAAGCAGGGCAGCCAGGAAATGGTGCCAGGCACCATGTTAAGTGAAACTGACATGCTCACCCTTCTCCCACCCACC